ACTGACCTAACAGGGTTCTTGATGAAGACAGGCCAGGGTGATCAGATATCATCTGTGAGATGGAGGGTGATGAGGAACTTGATTGGATACCAAGTGTAATCAAGTATGGAAGATGGCGGATTCTGGCACAACTGTCTCAGGATTCCTGCTCTAATTGGACAATGCAGAAATGAACACAGAAGCCCAAATGTCAGAGCCTAGTTGAGCAAGAGCTCAGAAGAGCCTGGTAAGAGTTTGGTCAAGAGAGAGAATCTTTGTCAGGGTGGGGTGTAATTTTCTTTTTTAGTGAAATTTTTGCATTTTGAAATCTTTGCTTGTTTTAAAAAAAAAACGGTTCTGGGCTTCCCTGGTGGCACGGTGGTTGAGAGTCTGCCTGCTAATGCAGGGGACACGGGTTCGAGACCTGGTCTGGGAGGATCCCACATGCCGCGGAGCAACTGGGCCCGTGAGCCACAACTACTGAGCCTGTGCGTCTGGAGCCTGTGCTCTGCAACAAGAGAGGCCGCCATAGTGAGAGGCCCGCGCACTGCGATGAAGAGTGGCCCCCGCTTGCCACAACTAGAGAAAGCCCTCGCACAGAAACGAAGACACACACAGCAAAAATAAATAAATTAATTAATAAACTCCTACCACCAACATCTTCTTTAAAAAAACAAAACAAAAACGGTTTTGAACATTTTCCTTTTAAAATATGTCCTCAGGGCTCATAGGACACAAAATTCTGCTTTTAAGAAATCATCATTATGATTGCTAACATTAAATTAGCACTTTCTGTGAATAATCATTACTAAAACCTCTATGAGCCCAGGTACTATGAGTTTTCAATTTTGCATGTGAGGAACTAGGTGCCCTGATGTTAAGTATTTTTCCTTGTACTAGCAACTAACTGAGCAAGATTTGATTGCAGGCTCCAGGGTCCATGCTCTTACCCAGAAATTTAGTCTGTGATGAAACCAAACTGTTAAAAAGATGACAGGGGTAAAGTACATTATTTTGTTTGTTCAGGTCCCTTACCTGATTTCCTTTAGGATCATCCTGGCTTATTTTGTTTCTTTTGTGGAAACTCTCATGGCAGGAAAAGGAGAAAAAACCTCACTATGACACCATCCTGAAGTAGTGTGGCTTGCAATGCAAATGTCCCCTAACAAAAATGTGAGAATTAGGATTTTTTGAGCAGAGCGAGTATGGGAAGATTATTTGTGTTACCAAAAAATCTAGGACTTTATAAAGAATTTCAATAGTAGATTTCCTTAAACAGGAAGCTGTCTGTATCCTCCACCACAGGGCATTCAAAATATGAAGCAAATTAGATTTAATTAGTCTGCAACATTGTCAGGAATGGAAAAATTGTCAAGGTAACTGCATTCTATACATTTTCTTAAAATTTCTTAATAATACACATTCTCTAAAAAGTAGTTGATTTTGGCATGTGTTGCCAAAATTTCTGATCAGGCTACAGTGTATATATTTCCAGGCTACTACAAATCCACAAAGAATTTCATAGTGCAGAACAGAAATAGAAATCTTGTTTTTCAGTTCTATTTTTCCACGTCTGTGTTCCCAACTGAGTGTAAAGACTACTGAAATGTGTGAATTTGGAAGTTTTTAATGAGAGTGAGAGCCAGCATATGCACCCAAGTCCCGACATCTGTTCCAATTTGTAATTGGCTGTAACAGCCTATGCTCTATGCAGAACGACTGTGATCATAACAAAAATTACGTTTAAATTGCTCATGTAACCATATGTCTCGGATCATGGCACTGTCTTTAGCTTCTATGTGTGTTATTTTTCTTGTACTTCAGGCCTTTTTTTTAAAAACACTGAGGTATAGTTGAATTAACGTGTATCAAGGAAGGAAATAAAAGGCTAACTCTAAGAGACTCTGCCACAATGAGAACAATTTAAGAAAAATGGGATTTAGCTTTGTTTTCTAGAAGTGAGTTCCAGAGACTTATTAAAAGGGCATTTTGGGGACAAGATTAAGAGCTACATAATTTGCAGGGCCAAGTGCAAAATAAAAACACAGGGTCCATGGCTCAAAAACCAGGAAAAAATGTCATTAAAGGTACTAAAATATAAAGTTTTTTCCACAGTTTCTCAACTTGTCATGGTGCTATTTAAGGTCATTTAAGTAAAGAAAAATGACGAGTAAATTATTAGTATTTCTTTATATTGTGCAGTGCTAGTTTTAAATGCAAATGTAAGATCCTTTAAGTCCTAAGCAGAATCACTAAAATGACACAATTTGTATTTTGTATTTCATGCATACGTACTTTATTCTTGCCACACTAGTGGAAAGGCACAGAACTCAACTTTTTGATACTTGCTCATTCTACTAATACCCTCTGCCTTCCACTTACTCACGAGTGAGGGAGAACTGGAAACAAAAGGAAGCAGGGGTTTCTCTAGCTTTTCCTGTCCCTCTGTGTCCTAATTTTCAGCGTCAGTGTCTGGCTAATACAGGAAAGGAACATGAATGAGAAAGGACATGATAGGATTCTTTGGTCATTTTTGTTTCTTAAAATGCTGTTGCCTTCTTTCTGCATTTGAAGCAAGTTCTGGTTCAAATGGAAGTGTGACCTCACGAGGCTGTCGGTTTCCCTTCCACAGACCCTTACTCAGTGGTAGATGTAATACGCTTACCTTATTTGACCTTTGAGTCTTACTGGACTCCCACACGACATGGGCCCTTTGGAATGCTATGCTAATGGGTACCTAGAATGCTATACATGGATGGAAGGAAGTGCAGACATGCATTATTGTTCTCATCTGCTCTGCTCACACTCATGCTCCATTATCCCATTGGACAGCCCTTATAAAACATGAATTCAAAGATAAAAGTATTAAGAATTTCATGATGGTGACAGCAGGATATTAAACCAAGCGTGGGACTCTTCTGAACATGGGGCCCATGTGACTGTACATGCTGCCCATGAGGCTGACCCTGCCTCAGTGACCTCATCTACAAATTGGGATGAGAATAGTTCTTGTCAGGTAGGATTGCCATGAGGAGTAACTGAATTATGAATACAGTGTATCCAGCACATAGGAAGTACTCAACACACAGTAGTTTCTTAATACCTATATTGCTCTATATCCCAAATAAAACCAGGAAATGGTTATTATATTGTTACTAGAGAACTTGATTTAAGTTGAGCTTTTCCTTATATAAGCTCCACTAAGCAAGATATGCTTTCAAACACATGAGACTGAAACACAGAGAACGCTCCTTTATCTGTATTGTGGTTATTAGGCACCAATGCGATCAATGAGCAAAGCTCTGAGGTCAATTCAAGAGGTTACCTGGTTTATCTTTTGCAGTGGCAATTACCGCAGCAGGTTATAGCAAATAGGGCCTGGTGAGGTGTCCAGGAAAAAGACAAAGGCTTGAGTCATTAAACATGGTTGAAGGCCAGGTTGTCTCTGGCTGAGAATGAGGTCAGCCCCATAAAGCCTTGGGCTTCAAACACATGGAGGGGAGATATTTGAAAGAAAACAAAGACGTGAGCTCCGTCTGAGCAAGTAGGAGTTAACTGTGATTGACTACAGCATCCGGATGAAGTGTGGTGTAGAATGAGTTCCAGGATCCAGAGTTACTGAAGAAATATAGTAGATAATACACATCAATCAATTGATTAATCCAATAGAGCTGCTTATAAAATGCTATTTTATATGCCCAGAGTGTATTTGGCTTATTTATACACTGTGTATAGACCAACCATTCCTCTTTTTTTTTTTGCCGTACGTGGGCCTCTCACTGTCGTGGCCTCTCCCGTTGTGGAGCACAGCCTCCGGACGTGCAGGCTCAGTGGCCATGGCTCACGGGCCCAGCCGCTCCACAGCATGTGGGATCTTCCCGGACCGGGGCACGAACCCGTGTCCCCTGCATCGGCAGGCGGACTCTCAACCACTGCGCCACCAGGGAGGCCCCAACCATTCCTCTTGAAAACATCAATTTTAAAAACTTTGATAAATTATCAGCCCCTGATTGAGTTAACACATATTGATTGTCTAAATATCATTTTATTTAAAACCTAAATATTTTAATTTTTATTTTTTTTACTGTCCACATTTTAATTTTTATATTTTTAGGTTGTTAAAATTTATTGAAGTGTATTTGATTTACAATGTTGTGTTTAATTTCTGCTGTACAGCAAAGTCACTCAGTTATACATACACGTATTCTTGTTCATATTCTTTCCCATTATGTTTATCACAGGGTATTGAATATAGTTCCCTGGGCTATACAGTAGGACCTTGTCATTACTATTCAATGTTTTGATGAATACAGACACCTGTGTACCTTAATATTGTCAAGATACCAGCCCACAGATTTCCCTCATAAAACCTCAATCTTTTTAAAAGAGATTCTCTATTTTCCATTGGTATATTTTAGGTGAAAATTATACCAACTTAAATTGTGATTTTGTTTAAAAATTGTTCATGAAAATGATTGATTGGATGTGATAACAGACTGAAATGCAAACAGGATAAAAAAAAATAGGTAGGATGTTACGAATATTCAGATTCCCAAGAAAGTGAGCAATTTCAGATCATTCAACAGGTGAGACTCTTGTGTCCTGCACAAGTATGATTTTCCTTCTCTGACTTTGAAGCACCAGACTGACCCTCTGTGAGGAGTAGGATAACAAAAGAAATATGATCTGATTTTTAAAAAGGTCTCTTCGCAGAGCAAAGGACTGATGAAAATGTGGCATGAAATCTGTGTCTAGCATAATTCTTTTAAGACTTCTCCCTGACCCCTGTCCATGGGGTTTTGAAAATCTGGATTTAATTTTCATTTTAAAAACTTAATGGCCTGGACTATCCCGAGAAATTTGAACTTTCTGAATTCCTGGGCCCTCTCACCCACCCGTGCTGTGGTTACGATGACTAAAGCTGACTAAAGCTGGGAACACTGAGTCAGGAATGGGTTTGCTGTCGTGAACGCTGTTTGTTCGCAAAGAATCTTACTGATAAATAATGTTACTGTTTCCAGATGCTGAGCCTAAATATCTGATAGTCGTGCGGCCCGCTCCTCCTCCCAGCCAAAAGAAGTCATGCTCAGGTATTTTTGTTGATTTTTTTTTTTTTAGTTAACTTTAAAGCATGCCTTTTCATCTCTTTTCTACCCACAAAGACCACGTGGCTTGGGGATGTCTCAGGAGTATAGGTTAGAAGATGTACCATGCCCAGCAGACCCCCGTCAACGCAACCCTGCTTGGGGAGTAGCATAGCCTGGTGGGAGAGGCTCTTGGGGTCTTTTCCAGCCTCACCACATACAAACTGTAGGGATTGAGGCAAATTATTGAACCTCTCTGTGCCTCCATTCTGACGTATGGTAGGGTCTGCGTGAGGATTAAATGAGTCCACAAATACGCAACACATAGGACAGGCCTGGCCCAGAGCAAGTGCTCATTTAGAGTTAACTCCTGTTGGCCTGTCTCTATTTTGTAATGTGTGAACTAAAGCCCTCTCTTGTGCCTTTCAGATTTTTTAGGGCAAAATTTGATGTCTAACCTTTGCTGAAGGAAACTGTTGACATTTCAAAAGCATAACTCATTTACGTGTGTGTTAAATGGGTTGGAACTTGGATTTTATTTACACCTCTTCCTTCTAAATCTCTTGTATTTAGTCAAACATAGAAAATAGGACTTCTTTCATAAAACAGCAGTGCAACACCCATCTTCCCAGGGCTAGGGAGACTTAAAACAGGAAAGTAGATACCATATGTATAAAAAAGTAGAAACATTTCTGCATGACTAAGGAAGATTAAAATCCTATGTTGTCCTGGGACTTCCCTGATGGGGCCGTTCTGCCCGCCAATGCAGGGGACATGGGTTCGATCCCTGGTCCAGGAAGATCCCACATGCTGCGGAGCAACTAAGCCTGCGCGCCACAACTACTGAGCCCACACATCCTAGAGCCCATGGGCCACAACTACTGAGCCCATGTGCTGCAACTACTGAAGCCCGCGTACCTAGAGCCCATGCTCCGCAACAAGAGAAGCCACCACAATGAGAACACTGCATAGCACAACGAAGAGTAGCCCACACTCGCCACAACTAGAGAAAGCCCGCATGCAGCAACGAAGACCCAACGCAGCCCCCCAAAAAAATCCTATGTTGTCCCAATTTCACTGCTAAAATTTCTTCTCAGATCAAATAAGGAAGCCGTTGCTATTATGAAGGACTGATAGAACTATAAATATGCTTTTAACATCTGATGTCACATCTTACTACTCTAGATAAAGTTGATCATACTACTTTTCTTTTCTTTTTCATGTTCTAATGTGAACTGTTCTCAAAATAATTATTTCCTAATCATATTTGTCTTTTACAGTACTCTGGTTGCCACACAGAAAAAAGAATCTTTCTTAAAGGGATGAGAAGGGTTGGGGGAGCATACAGATATTCACATACACTGAGCAAAGGCGCCCTTTGCAGCTCTGTATTCTGTCTCCTAGTTGTATTAGCCATGGCTGGTTACCAGAAATCAGTTGCCACTATCCCCTCCCCTCCTTCTGTTGGTTTCCTTTTCTTTTTAGAGAAGCAATAAATGGTCAAGTATTTTGAGAAATACAGATCCTTTTCCTTGACCTCTTATATTATCCCAAAGTGCAAGGAAAGTTTCAATCAGTACTTACAACTTACTAATGGTAGTCGTCCAGGCAGCTTTCCATACACTTGAAAAGAAATGTACTCTCATCAATATTTCAAGATTCTATTTCAGAATATTTAACAATAAAGTCAGGAAGCATGAGTATGGTTTTATGGGATTCTGGCTTCATAGTCACTGAAATTTTTCTTAATATGATTATAAAACAAATATACAAAAAGAAGTAAGGAAGGTCAAGAGAGTGATTACAACTTAATAGCATTTTATAACTTCGTTTCATTTGGGGGCTTCTGTGACGCTGGCCTTAGAGATTATTTTTCAGTATGATGACCAACACAGGAAATTGTTTCATCCCACTCAGGATATAATACCCCACCTTTCCTTTCAGGCAACAGATATAATTTTTCTTTTTATAACCTGCATTTAAGAGTGATGTAATGAGTCATGGATTAGCTTCCATTCATTTTATATTTGTACCTGCCACATAAATTTTAATTATTTAATCATTTTTAAAGTAAGATCCAAAGTTAGTGAAATAATTATTTGATAGGCATGTAAACCTTAGGTTCCTTGGGGAAAGAAAAATGTACCTTTTTTTCTCTAAGTGGCATTATCTTCATACATTGTGAGCTAAGCCAGTGATATAGTAAAAAGAAAAGTAGATTATAATTCAGGAGACCTGGATTTGAATCTTAACCTTGGGCAACATTGAAACTACTCTGGGCCTTGTTTTTCATCTATAAAATGAGACAGCTGTGTTACGTGAGTGAGTGAAAATCAACGCAGGGGTGGAAAAAGACTTATCAGAATCACCTCAGGGCTTTTTCAAACTACCCAGTGTCCCCCACCTTTATCTCTGATTCTAATCTGCCCTCCTTGGGGGCCAAACTTGAACCCTTTGAATCATAGATAAGGTACTGTTGCAGGTGGATCTGGACAGATTTTCAGAGAAGTATAGTTGCATGTTTGCAAGTGATTAAACAATAACCATCTTTGAAAATTATTTAAGATATCTTTAAAAATTCATCTATGTCACAGTGAAGTAACTTTCTACCACTAGGTTGTGTATATTCTTGTTTCAGAGGGCTGTTCCGCTAGAATAACAACTTATACAACTTAAATCTGACAGAAGCAACAGTCATGGCACAATTTTCAAGGGTATTTGGTTCAGATAACCTTAGCTAAGCTCATACAAGGGGTACCCTCCTACCCACCTTCTAAAGGTCACAGGCCATTTTGCTGTTTGGCTCACACTACAGTAGATGAAGATAAAATTTCTTTTTATAGCAAATATACGTAATATCATGAAATGAAAAAGAGAATTAATGGAAATACAAAGCATATATGTTTTACATTAGTGCTGCATAATTTTATTAGGTCCCATTGGATTTTTAATTAATCCTATTAGATTGTACCCTGATTTCTTTTATGAGCCAGTGTTGGTTTCCATGGTTGAAAATCTTCCCTCCTCTTTTTCACTCTCCTCCCATGCCTGCAATTTCAAATATTTTTGAAAAAGCAAATGTCTGCACCCCCGCCACATACTTGAAAAGAATCTAGAGTGGTATATCAGCATCACTCTTAGCATTGCCCCAATCCAGTTAGTCTTATCAGAATAACTGTGCTTCCTGTATTATTCGTACTCTTCCAGCAGTATTAAAAATGTGTGCACCTTTTCCATTTAGATACTCACTGTAAAAAAAAAAAAAAAAGGCTATTACAATGGTCTCACAAAGGATTTTACACTCCCAAATAGTTTTTTTAAAAAAAGACTATAACCTGCAACCTACATGGTAAGCTTTCTTTTCTAAGGTGTTATTTCACACTAATTCACAGTCCCAGGGGAAAAAAAAGCATAATTTATTTTGTCTGTAAAAGAAAATTGAGTGTATATATATATATATATATATATATGTATATATATGCCTATATGTGTGTGTGTTTATTTCATTGATAATAGCCAAGACCTCCATATTCATCCCTGAATCGCAAGAAAATAAAAACTAGGAATGTATATAGTTTATATGTGTATACACACACACACACAGACACACACACACACACGTAAATCTCAAAAGGGTATTTCATTTGATTCCTGCTTAAATTCATGGGCAAACCATTATTAATATTTGTGCACTATATAAAAAGAAAAGGAACTTAATGCTTTCACATTCTTCATCTCTTGCTAAATTACCTTTGTCTATTTTACCCAAATCATAAAGGACTTCCCTGGTGGTCCAGTGGCTGAGACTCTGCACTCCAGGGGACCCCAGTTTGATCCCTGGTCAGGGAACTAGGTCCCACATGCCACAACTAAGAGTTTGCATGCCTCAACTAAGGATCCCGCATGCCTCAACTAAGACCCAGTGCAGCCAAATAAATAAATATTTTAAAAATTATTTTTAAAAAAGAAAACACACTAAATATTAACGAGAATTAACCTGTCTGTTACCTCTGCAGGTAAAGCACGATCTCGCAAACCTCTCCAGCTGGTGGTTGGCACTCTGACACCAAGCTCAGTCTTCCTGTCCTGGGGCTTCCTCATCAACCCTCACCATGACTGGACATTGCCAAGTCACTGTCCCAATGACAGGTAGTTCACCATTATGGAAAACTTTGTTTTTCATCTGAAAATTGGCACTTGCTTTCAATAGTATCTGCACATGCTTTAGAAGAATGTGTAAATGGCAGGAGCATCAGTATTTACAGATCAGCTATTAGCTGTAGAGCCTGATCTACGTGTGAGGGGAATGAAGATAAATTAGTGAGGATCCCTACCCTTCAGGGAGTTATCACCTATCTGAATAGAAAACACATGCAAGTATTTTTTTCTTTCTGAAGAAAAAACTAGAAAGGAAAATAAGCCAAATAGCAAGTGGGGTTATCAGTGATAAGTGTAAAAAAAAAAAAATCAGAGGATGAGGTTGAAAGCACTTAGTAGAGACTGTTAAAAGTTGCAAAGCTTCATCTTTGGTTTGAAAAGGATGGATCTTTGATCTGTCAGTTGACGAAGTGCTAAAACAGTAGTTCTCTCAGTGTGGTCCCTAAACTAAGCAGCATCAGCCTCAATAAACATCACTTGGGAAATTATAAAAAATGGAAATTCTCAGGTCTCCAGACCTACTGAATCAGAAACTTCACCTAAGCTTAGGGATCATTGACTTAGAAAACTGGAGGGAGGAACACATGGAGAAATGTAGGTCAAGGAAAAGCACAGTTGGAAATGAAGCTACCATCTTCTCTGGCAGAACAAAATAAGAAAAACCTAAGTTTATTTTTAAATTACTGCCATTCATTCATCCAGCATATGTAGTTGGCATTGTCTATGTGCTGGGCACTGTATAAATGCTGAACCATGATTCTAAACTGGGTATAAGATGGTATTTGCTTTTCATAAGTATTTACTACAGTAGCTTCAAAATTCAAAACTTTGCATCTGACAATCAAAATTTTCAAGCTTCAACCAAGGAGTTTTTATATTAGAAGATTTTTTTTTAATTTTAAATACTCAAAGCGACTTAAATGTTTAAGATTTGTTTCATTACTTTTTTACATAAAAAACTTTGTTATTGAGGAATAATTTAAACCTAGTAAAATGCACAGATCTTAGGTGTACAATTTAATCAATTACAAAAAAGTGTGTAACCATGTACTGTATACCCCATCAAGACATAAAACATTTTCATTACTCCAGAAAGTACTAGAGTTGGCCACTCTAGAATTCCATATAAACAGAATCATAAAGTATGTTCTCTTTCTGTGTCTATCTTATTTATTCAGCATGTTTTTTGAGATTCATTCATGACATTGCAAGTATAAATAGTTCATTCCTTTTTTATTCCTGAGTAGTATTCCATTATGTGAATATTTCAGAATTTATTGATCCATTTTCTTGATGGTGGACACCTGAATTGTGTCTTGTTTTTTGGTTATTTTGAATATAAATTTTATAAACATTTTTGTATAAGACTCTTGTAGATATATCTTTTAATTTCTCTTAGATCAATACCTAAAAGTAGAATTGCTATGTCACAGGGAAGATGTATATTTGATTTTTTTTGGACTAATTTTTCCATTTAAATTCCCACAAGCAGTATATGGGAGTTCTGGTTGCTCCACATCTGCACCAGCATTTTGTGTCATCAACATTTTTCATTTTAGCTATTCTAGTGTAGTCATATCTCATTACCATTTTAATATATATTTGCCTTGTACTAAAGATATCGAAAACATTTTCATGTGCTTTTTTTGCTTTATATCTATTTTTTGTAGTGCTTTATTTCTTTTTATTTGTCTTAATCGGACAGAAAAGAAAGAGCTTTAAAATGTTTGTAAGTTCTCAGAAGTACCTTTCATATGACTTTGATTAAGAAGTCTAAACTAAGAAAGAAAAAAATTAAATTTTCTTTCACATGTCTATAGTTCTGAAGGAAGAAATTCTTGGAAAAAGTATGTAGAAGATATGCCAAAACTAAATTTTTTGAAAAGTAATTTTGAGCTGTTTCAAAGAATCTGAACTATTCCTTATTTCAACCACTACTAAACCCATAACTTACTTTGTTTGGAAATGGACTCTTGAAAGAACTTTCTTTCTTGTGATAACTTCAGTTTCTAATGGGTTCACAGGGTGCCAGTGCTGAGAAAACAAACACTTAAGGGTTGCTTTCTTTTTCCTTTTTTTAGTCTCTTAATAAGAAAGAAAGAAGGAAAACAAAGAAGGGAGGGGAGGGGATGGGCAGGAAGTGTAGAAGGGAAGGATGGAGACCTGATACTCTTGTAACAAAATGTAGCTGATTTTAATGGTTACTCAACTTGCTTGATAGATCCATGAGGTTCAGTAACTTGCAAATTCATATAGCAGGATTTGGATACGATTTCCTCCCCTCTCCTCAAGCCTTTTCTTCAATTTCACTTGGTTCTGCTGACCCCTCCATGAAACGACTTATCTGATGATTGATTCTAATTGATAGAGGTTGCCACAGTTTGACAGCACAAGGAGATAATGAATATGAAGAAGGTAGAGGAACAGTTGCCCGGATAGAGTTAGAATTTTATCCAAGGCAATTGACTTGAAGGCCCCAAGCTACTCAGACAATGTGTACACCTCACCCTCCCATCCCCTTGCCCATACACCCTGGCTCTGCTCTTCTCATCAAATAGATGGAGTCATGCCCATCAAATCACAATATTTAAAATAAATAATTCTACCTAGAATGAAGTTTTTTAAAAGATTCAATAATAATATGTCAAGATGCTTGCCAAGTTTCAAACATGAGTGTGTGGGAGGATCAAAGTATCCTTGACAGAAATAGGGAATTGTTAGGACATGACTAAAGGGGAAGAATTAAATGGTAATGACAAAAAGAAGCATTTGGAGTACTTGTGAATTTTATTTACCCATCCCTCCTTTCTCCCTAGTTAGAACAGTTAATAAAGAGCTGACATTTGAGAAAAAATAATAGTCCTTATTTAAAAGCTCTGGAAATACTGTACATATTATAAGAACCCAAATAAATCCACCAGAACAACTCAATTGGTGTACTTAGATGCAGAATTGGAGAAGTCCACCCTCATATGATTATGTAGATGGTATTTTTTAGAATTTAGATTAATCCAGTAGGTTAGAGTAAGCAATAATAGTTACAGGGAATGATTCCTCCTTGAAAATTAGAAGATTAGTACAGCTCAAGTTTTCCTTCAGGAGCATATTCTGACAAAACTGTTGGAATCTGAATGCCCTTGGCTTGCTACAGGAACATCAACTGATGTCATTTTAATCCATTTAACTCTGATATTTGGCACTATGTGTAAAGTCTCTGGTTTTTTTAAAAACAGAATCATTTCACGTTGGTTTGTATAGCATCATTTAGTAATTTGCGTATTACTATGCAAATGCAAGTTATTGGAAAGGTTTCTTTACATTATACTTTGACTTTTTAAAAATTTTATTTATTTATTTATTTTTGGCTGTGTTGGATCTTCGTTTCTGTGTGAGGGCTTTCTCTAGTTGTGGTGAGCGGGGGCCCCTCTTCATTGCGGTGCGCAGGCCTCTCACTGTCGCGGCCTCTCTTGTTGCGGAGCACAAGCTCCAGATGCGCAGGCTCAGTTGTTGTGGCTCATGGGTCTAGTTGCTCCATGGCACGTGAGATCTTCCCAGACCAGGGCTCGAACCCGTGTCCCCTGTATTGGCAGGCAGACTCTCAACCACTGCGCCACCAGGGAAGCCCCTATACTTTGACTTTTGACTTATATATCAAAGCTCTCGTGTGGTGAGTTTCTAATGAGAAAACCTCTGTTTTCTGTTTTATTTGTTTTAAGGTTCGAAACATTAATGAGTCACTTTATCCTTGGTTGTATGTTTCCATTCCTATTTGCATAGGGTCCATATGGTTCTCCCATGTTTTTAGAGCCTTTTCTGAGTTCACATTCTTTGGAGAGTAGATGTACCTAATTTACAGTTTTTATTCTTAATGGGCTTTGAAAGGAAGAATGTACATGTTTGTCCTCAATATATCTAAGGTCAAAAGAAAGCTTTCCAGATTGGCCCAGATGAAGAGTTAAAACCACAATTTATTTCACCATTAATAGCATATTTTTTCCTTCCCATGTTTCCAGCTTGTTAAAGTGTTCAAGATTGCCTTAGTTCTCACTCCTTTGCCAACTTATTAAAGCTTTATGATCCTTTTAGAATTTTCTTTTCACATTTTCTAACACTTTCACATTGTACTTACTTGCTCTTAATGTAGAATGAGGGCCCTCCTTTTTGGCTGGTCCCGGGCTGACTCTTGCCTTTTTTTTTTTTTTTTCTTTATACCAAGTTGTTAAGAAGTGAATATTTTTGATGTCCGGAAATTCTCACTTGATTTAGCCCAATGCCTTGTTACCCATTTGTCTTGCCATGTGAATTTTAAGCTCTGTGAGGACAGGGACCATGGGTATCTTAATCCACCATTGTTTCCTCAGTCCCTGGGCCAGCATCTGGCACACAGTAGGCCTTCAGTAAATTTATACTGAATGAATAAACAGTAAAATGTTAGCATTTTCACTTTTATGCCTTACCATTACTTCAAACTTAGAACAAAATTGAACTCATACTTTTCTCTTGAAATATCAGTTCCCCTATTACTTTCTGAAGTATCATAATTCTTTCACTCTCCATAATTTGAAACTTCATGAATTTTTAAATTCTTCATTTCCTATAGGTATTGAGGCTCTGAGTTACATTGGTTTTGCCTTTGAGAAGTACCCATATTAGTATCTTTATCTTCTGCTTCTCCATTTCCATGTCAATGATTCCAATCCAGACACTCCTTACCTTACCCTGCATCCTGGGAATAGCATCCTCGCTACTGACCCTGACTCTTTTCGTATCCCAATCCATCCTGGTTTCTGCAATACTGAAGAAAATTTAGGCTATTTGCCGTCAGCTCACTGTTTCTTCATCCCACATTTAGTTTTAACTCTCTTCTGTTCTTACCAAGGAACATGTTTCTGACTTCAGACAGTGCTCATCATCTGGTCGCTTCCATATTCCATAAGCCTTTGATCTTTTACATTTGCCTCTTTACTGATATTGGTGCCCTGCCTCTTGCT